TCAGAGATCTCGTGCTGCGCTTCGCTCGTGTACCAGCCTCTCTGCCCTCGTGCGCACCTCGCCAGCGGCGCGGTCTCAGCAGCGGCCGACATCACCGTAGCCGTCAGCTCGGCGGCGGTCTCTCCCGTTGGCCGCCTGAGCGCCGTGGGCGGAGGGCGGCTAGAGGCCCTGTTTTGGAAGGCGTCTCGTAGGTGTTTGTCCTTCCTCAACCGCTCGAGGTCGATACGGATCCGGCTGCTTCCGCTGTTCCCCCGCACTCGTCGGTTGGGTGCGACACGGGGGGGGAGGCGGACAGTCGTAAGCACGAGGTTGTGGTCGGGACTGTAGTCATTTGGACACGGAAGTCCTACATGATGCCAACATCGCAGCGTAAACTGTTGCTCTTCTTCCGTTTTCGTCCAGATACCGTAACAAGTGAGGACAATCACGCAGGCGGTCAATCGATTTTGCACGCTCGATTGCTCCACAACAACCAAGGGGCTGCCATAATACCGATTAGGGCGATTTCGGAAAGAAAATATGAGAAATTTCCTGGTAGGTGTAGGTCGGGTTTTCTGCCTTTCTTTGTTGTGAAGCAATCTTCCTTGAAGTCGATCGCACGTCTGCTTGTTGTACGTTCGCCCGCACAAATTGTCATGGTACTTCAATGTACCTGTATTCCCATTTAGCCATGCCATGAGGACAAAGCGTATGATACGTCCTCGATCACATGCTGGCTGATTTGCGGAAAGTCATTGTTGACTCGACACCACCAGATACACGCTGCTGGCCGCTGCCGCCCAGAATTTTTTCGTCGACATGAAACAGCTGAGAGAGAGAGAGAGTTGCATGAAGTCTCGGGTACCTTGTCGGACGACCTAGGTGTAGCCAAGGCTTTGAACGGTTCCCCTTCCATGATGACATGATGAGAACGCCCCCTCCCCCCACCCACAATATTTTCCACCTGGGGGGCACAACACCCAACCAAGGCATTGATTTGTCTTGTTCAAAAACAATGCTCATCATTCCGTGCTCGTGTTTTTTTCATGAAATGAAAGCCTCTTCCACCAGTAACATGTCGGATGATTGTCCATTCGAAATCGCGGGAGAGGTACAGTGCCGGCCCGCACGTAAGAACCTCCTATATTGGGCGAGCCTCAGTTCTTATTGGCTGCCCCAACCCGAGCACCAGTTCTTATTTGCCAAGTTCTTATTTCGCCGTCCATTCTTCTCCAGAAAGGGGCGTTCTTGTTCTTACAGTATTTTAACATCATTTGCTACATTGTCGGCTGTCAACCATGAGCAACATGGTACTGCTGTCGATACAAGAAAATACCAAGGCATGGAGCAGCAACTGTCAACCTTCTTGGTCCGCAAGGGTGACGTTGGTCCTGCGTACCCTTCCTGATCTACTAATGCTCTCAGGCGAAACCGCAAGGGGGAACACTGAAAATGAAACGTGTCCCTTGCAAGTAGAGTGACAAATTTACGTGTCCCATGCATCCAGGTGACAACGGCAAATACCGGAAATGCCGAAATGCCGCCAAAATTCCACTGAACCAATTTTCTATCTTCAAAGAGTCAGCCAAGTATGCACATGAAGGAGCGCACACGCAGCCATTCGTCTGGGCTACTCCCCCACCTCTCCTGGTTTTCGGAGCTAGCCGGCAATTCGGATCCAGCCGTTGTGCGATACGTAATCATCCCCGTTAGGATTTGAGGAGGACGGAGTCTAAAGCTGTAGAGAAGCACTGCGCCTGTTCACTCTTTCCTACTGCTGCTTGAGACTGACTTGGGCTCTCCAAAACTCCGACAGGTACGAACAACCTCACTTGTGTGTGGTCGAAGATGGACTGCGTCTTTGTACAAGCCCAACATGCCACCATGCAAAACATACTGCTGCTGCCGTTCACCTGTCGCTGCCCTTCCACGTCTACCTGTCCATGACACATGCTGCCACTTGATGCGACAACATCTGGGAACAACACGGACACAGGGAGTACTCCCACTACTACCCATACACACACCGTCAAAATTGAATAACCTCTCATTCCTCCCTTTCCACATACAACTGACGACGTAGATGCATGAAATGATACACTGTCTTGGTCCGCGCTGTCTACAAATGGGAAAGGTAGCCATATTTCTGCAGACACACGGGCGAGAGAGGTGACCATACCCACTGCATTTAACACACACCCACATGTCGGTGATGAAACCTCAACCACACGCCTCTCGAGTCTATCGGCGGCCACGTCAGGAGGCAACGATGCGATAAGATAATGTCCTCCCGTGCCCTTCGCACATTTAATGAGTACATTTAACCATCCGTGCGAAAGGATCTTTACTTCTAAATTTGCTGTCTCCTCATTGGTTGGAGATGCTCGTGCGCGCGCTCCCTCGGTGAACCTCTTTTTGTTTCTGTTCACAAAGCTCTCCTGGGGTGGGAAACCCTGGCGCTGTGTGTCGTGCAATAAGCCAACCCTAGGTTAGGTCAGGGTAAGAAGACTTGGGGTAATTTAATGGCAGTATATATGTTGAGGCGTGATGGAATGGAAGGTCAAGAAAAGAGTATGAGGTGGAGACTAGAGTGGAGAAGGTGTTGGTTTATGGTTGGAATGACGAGCTTATGAGGGAATTGCAGTTAGTTGAGGGAGAGAGAGCGAGAGTTGGAGAGTAAGTGAAGCGGCGCAACTAGATAGATACGGAGGAAGCGGCGCAATTAGCTTGTGTCAGCTGATGTCGCGTGCCCCCCTGGTTCAGTATTCGATTTCCCTGCTGTTCCCAGCCCACGAAGGCCTAAGAAACACACTTTGATCGCAAGCAACATCGAGACGCGAAAACCCACGACCCCACTGGCACATCTACACACATATCTACGCGCGATAGGCCATCGCCGGCCGATTCCACGTCACTGGCACCGAAGGAGGGGCCACGCGGTTAGCGCACCGCTTGAGGTGTGTTCTTCCCATGGCACAGAGAGGTGAGGGGGGGGAAGTCAACAGCGATGAAGGGAGGGTTGGGCACTCGGACCACAGGGGTGGTGGTGGTTCTAAGGGTGGTGGGATGGATGAGTTGTCGACCGGAGGGGATGAGTCGGCGGCTAAAGCGATGTCAGGGGAAGGGGAAGTGCTGACAGAGAGACCTTGGGAGGAAGGGAAAAAGAGGTCGGGTGGGGACGTTGAAGTTGGAGACTCACGTCAGACAAGGGAAGTGCTATCTAAGAATGTACAGCAAGACATCCGAGGATGCGCAACGGACAGAGGCTGAGGTCTCTGGGGGAGAGGGTGGATGGCCTGAGGGCAAGAGTNTCCACGTCACTGGCACCGAAGGAGGGGCCACGCGGTTAGCGCACCGCTTGAGGTGTGTTCTTCCCATGGCACAGAGAGGTGAGGGGGGGGAAGTCAACAGCGATGAAGGGAGGGTTGGGCACTCGGACCACAGGGGTGGTGGTGGTTCTAAGGG